ATGGATGCAGAAGCTAACGGTGTAATTCATTCCCCAGCACACCCCGCTCATTCAGTCGTCTGCTTTGCCACAAAGGTACACTGAATATTTTCTGCCGGCTGAACTGACGAGATATCAGTCTGCTTCCTGCTTAATGCAGGAGTTACTCTGCCTTACAGCTGAAGAGTGATGTCCCTCACTAGACATCAATCTGTGGGCCTAGATCAGCCATGCAAATGAGCACATGTCCACAAATTCAGGGTCTTAAAGAAATCAATCTGGACCTGGAAGAATCAGGCAGCAGGTTTCGGGAAAAGAACAAAACCTAAAGGATATTTAATAACATTTGCTGCCTTTATTATTAGTGCTCCGTTTTTGCTTTTTGGGTTGTATGTTAGTAAGAACGTGGAAGCATGTACGCCCTTTGATTTAGTACATGGTAAAATGGAAAACAAAACAAAAAAGGCATAGTAATGATGTATTACTGAGTATAGAACCACTGATAGTTTACAAAGCACTTTCATATATACTGTCAAATTTATTTAGGCTTTCAGCAATCATTTGTAGTAACAATAGCAGTTTTATGGCCCTTTATGCAGATCAGGAAACTGAGGCTCATACAGTTTAAGGAAGCTGCGCAAGTTCTCACTGCTGACAAGCAGCAAAGCAGGGAGTCCTGAGGTGCAGCAAGAGGAGCCCATATTAGAGGACTCTGTTCTGGCCCCCTTCTTGCTGCATCTCATCCCTTCTCACTGTCTGAGGAGCCCATGGGGATCAGGGAGTGTGTCCAGTCATCTGTTACCAGCTTTCTCCACCTCTAGACCGCACTCTACTACACTGGACTCTAGAATTTCAAGACCTGTACCGGCCTTTTCCCTCGGTCCATCCTTTTAGTTTTTGGGTAGTAGCCGAAGAGCGACTATTTGTAATAGTGGAGAATGCATTTTGGAAGTGAAGGCAGAGTGTCTACGCACGTGTGCATGAAATCATTTGCAGTGGGGGATGAACCTTTGAATGGAAAGAGAGCTGGTTTGGTCAGAGTCTGGGTCTGTGAGCTAACTTCTCATACAACTGTGGTATGAAGTCCAAGAATTCCTAACTAAAATCTGGCCTTCCCAGTTGTTATGAAGGTATATATTTGTCAAAGTAGGAAAACAGAACATGTTTTATGTAACTATTTGATTCGTAACTTTTAAATATTTAGACATATGGTACATAGACCTCCATTTGAGCTCTCACTTAGATTCCACAAATGTCAGGGGCAGGCTGGTTGAGGTGGTATTGATGTACATGGTAGAGATTAATGAAAATTTGAAAACGATTTTATAATCTATGCTGGCATAAGTTTTCTTTAGCTCTCTTTAAAGGGTCACATAATTTATCGGCTTTCATAATTCCAGCAGCTTTTCCCAATGGTTCTTTAAAGGCTGAAGTACCAATATCTCCAATAGTTAAGGGTACTAATGGTGGATCTGATAACATAAATAAACAGGGACTTTAATGTTTTACAAGTATGTTAACACAAACTGTGGGTTATTATCTTGCCAAGTTCCTAAAAAAAAAAAAAATTATGTTGGCCCAAAAGAGAATACCCTGCCTAAAAGTGAAACATTTCTTTCAAGCAATTATGAATTCCTCTTCATCAGCAAGATGAGGCTTAAAACTTGTCCCTAGCTTCATGGCTAAGTTCATCAGCTATCCATTTTCAGCAGGAGAGGCAGTTCTGCAAGAAGACAACTCGAAGCAGATGAGACAATATATTAATATGGCTTCCTTCAGCAATTCACATCTAATTTCTGCAGTAAGGGACATGTCAAATCTCACCTTTTCCATGAAGTTCTTTGTTCTAACACTGAACTTCCATGCCCTTTATATCTCTATAGGGTGAATATTATACTCCTTCATCATTTATGTATCTCTCATCTTTTCTACTAGCTTGTAAGCTTCTAAAAGTCAAGACCCTTTAACTTCCACCATTGAATCCTACAGTGTGCAGTGCACATAGTAGGCATTTAATGACTGTTTGGTGAATGAATAGATAGATGATTCCTACTTTTCTCATTATCCACTCCCAGCAACATTTTTATGTGTTCTGTAGTCTCCGCTACGGAAACTCCCTGGTTTTCACCAACCCCTGAAGAAAGCAATTAAAAACATAGATAAGGTTTTTCTTTTACATGGAGATATTCATAGACTGAAGATATTCCTATATGTGAACAGAGAAATTTTGTATCAGTTGGGAATCCTTTTGGCAGCAAATAACGGAAAACTCAACTTTTATTAGTTGAGTATGTAATAAAGACATTTAATTATCTGACATAGCTAGAAGACATCAGAAGGCTGGTAGTTCCAGGAACTCAGCAATGTTATCATGGGCTCAAAACTTCTTTGTACTCCTATTCTGCCATCTTCAGTATGTTGGCTTTTTGTCCTCATGCTTGTTACTTGATGGTAATGGCTGATAAAGTATCCAGTTAGGAAGGAAAATGAGAATACGTAGATGGTACACACTATCCCAGTCTCTCTTTTTAGAAAGCAAACTATTTCCCAGTAGCCCCCAGCTAGACTATACATACATACCATTGTCCATGACTTTGTCATTGGCTTCAAGGGCCTGGAAAGGTAAGTATCAAGCAAAGGGGAATGGAAATGACACACATTGCCACCTGAACAAAACTGGGATTTTGTTAGCAAGGCAGAACAGCCATAAGGGTTATTGAATGGCTAGCAAATAATATCTGCCACCACTTCTCTGTTTAGTTTAGGTATTATCAATGGCTGTCTTCCTCTATTTTCCCCAAAGAGCCCATATTGAGTTATTCTAAACTGAAAGTTCCCATTTCCGTAGAATTCCTGCCATAATGTGAAAGCCACATAGGGATTTGACATACATCTAAAACTGTCATCGATAAAACCCACAAACTCAAGCATCTGTGGAAATATGTAATTAGAAGTTTATAAAATGTGATAGATTCTAAAAGGGTGGAAGAGATATCATATTTGTTGAGGATCACAGTATGCTAACTCTGGTGTATTTGGGGTCTGGCTAAATCAAATGGTTCCCATGCAGAGTGAAAGATAAGACTAGAAGCATTAAAGAAACTGATGTTTTGATGGGTTGGATGTCAAAGCTGAAGAGGACATAGCAGTCAAAGCAGGCCTTAAGGTCATAAGCTTGCAGGAGAAAATTCAGGAAGGGGCTCAGTTGGGGTTGGGGAATGACGATAAGTTGGAAATATCCAGTAGATTGGTGGAAATAAAGGAGTATGCATGAGTGATAGGTGTGTTTGGGGCATAGAAATGATTGTAGAGGCTGTGAGAGTAGACACAGAGGTAGAAAAATAGAGGCCAGCCACTCAGACATGTCCCCAAATCCATCCTGGATCACTCCCTCCTTGGAGCCAACATTGCATCTCATATATACCATAATTTCAGCACTTCACACAACTGTAACGCAATTATTCATCAGTCAGCAAATATTTATCAACCACCTAATATGTTCCAAGAACAGGTGATAGAACAGCAAATGATACAAACAGGAGCTAAATTCCAGGGGACAATATAAAAAAATAAGCATAGAAACAAGGTAATTTTAGAAACAGGTAAATTGAAAGAAGAAAATAAGATGGGGTAATGTGAATGTGACTGGAGTTGCATGAGTCTCCGTTAGCTAAGGTGGTCAGGGAGACATGAACGGTGATGAGAAGAGAGCCATTGGCTCAAGAAAGGGGATTTTGGATAACAGGAAGACTGTTGTATATTTGAATGCAAAGAGGAAACGGGTCAGATTGAGATGCTGAGAACCCTCATGGGTCTTCCCAGGTCTGGGAACCTGGAGACCTAGGTATAACCCTGTGTTAAAGAGTTTGATCATTCAGTCTGGTAAAGAATGTTGTAATTAGGGCACCTCAAGGAGAAATGTAACTGGAAAGAGTCTTAGAAATGCTCTAGTCCGCACTCTCTGCTTACTAATGAGGCAGCAAGCTCTCCCAGTGTAAGTGACTTTACCAGGCTCACAACGGGGTTAGAAGAGACAAGTATGGAACCCAAGTCTCCAGACTTATTGGGTGCAACAGCTGTGATTATGTTTACTTTATTCATAGGTTATGGTTATCTGCAAAGGCCATTTGCTGTTCGACCTATAATTTATTCTTCATTTTTTATTTTTTCATTCAATAAATGTGCCTGGTATGTGCTGAAAATAAAGAAGACAGGTGTGTTTGGTGAGTCTCCCGCTCCCTAATTATAGCATGTGTGTCATTAACTCCCAAACCCAGCAACCCGATAATGTTGAAACTAGTGTTCTGTGGATTTACTTAGCTTTCTAGGGCGGAGGCTTGTTAGCGAATGAAGTTTGGGGTATGCATATTGGGGAGGTGGGGGTTATAAGTGTGTTCATTATGTGAGATAGTTTTTAAATATATTTATGAAGTAGGGAATACACTCTTAGAATTCAAAAAACAAAGTATAAAAGGTACAGGGTGAAAATTCTCTCTCTGTGTCTCTCCTACCCACCCAATTCCCTTTCCTAATAGCAATCCACATTATCCATTTTTTTTTTGTGTATCCTCTCAGGGATATTTTATGCATATACAAGCAATTATATATACATATATATATGTACAGGGTTGCTATGAGTCAGAATTGACTCTTCAGCAAAGGGTTTCTTCAACGGGTATATGTGTGTATGTGTATGTATATATATAAACCCTGGTGGTTCAGTGATTATGAGCTCGGCTGCTAATCAAAAGGTCGGCAGTTCGAATCCACCAGCCGCTCCTTGGAAACTCTATGGGGCAGTTCTGCTCTGTCCTGTAGAATCGCTATGAGTCAGAATCAACTCGATGGCAACGGGTTTAGTTTATATATATGTAGTCCCCTCCCAATTTTTATGTAAACAGCACACACCCTACACCCCGCTCGGTACTTTCTTTCTTTTCTTTTTTTAATTTTATATCTTATTCATAGATATCATGGCCTTTCTGAACCTCTCATGTCATCTATTTCATTTTCCTGCAATGGTTACAGAGAAGAAACATCTACATCTTCATGTCCATTCTATTGTGTGGACAAACCATCAGGTATTTAACCAGATTTTACTAATGGCCATCTTGGTAGATTTTTCTACCTCTGTGTCCACTCTCACAATTTACTATTACAAAGTTGCAATGCATATCCTTTTATATGTGCCATTTCAAATGTGTGTAGTTACATCTGTAGGATAAATTTATAAACCTAGAATTGCTTGGTCAAAAGATATGTGCATGTAATTTTAATAGATCTGGGAAAATTTCATACTATAGAAATTGTGGCAGTTCCCACTTGTGTTATCTGAAATTTGATGGTTTTGTCAATATATTAAGGATAAAATGATATCTCAGTGTAGGCTTAAGTTGCATTTCTCTTACTGTGAGTGACTGAGCTTCTTTTTATATGTTTAAAAGTCATTTTATTTATTTCCTATAAACTTGATTTGTCTATTAGCTTTTTAGACTCTTACACGTTGATTTATAAGAGCTTTTTATGTATTATAGAAATTACCTCGTCTGTGATATGAATTACGTTTTCTCAGTTTGCCATTTGTCATTTTACTTTACTTATGGTGATTTTTGCCATAGGTATATTTGTTTTTATTTTCATGATGATGAATTTATAAATCTTTATTTTATGATGTCTGGGTTATGGGTCATAGTAACAAAAGATTTCTCTCACTCCAAGATTAGTTTTTAAAATTCTCTCATTGTTTCTTCTATTAATTATGGCTTTATTTGTACATTTTTAGTTCATCTGGACTTTATTTTGGTGTATTTTGTCTACCTAGTGGTCCCAACACCATTTTTCACTCACTAAGAAAAGGCCATTTGTGTTTATTCCCCCAGTATAACTTAAATCAAAATATTGCTTTGAATTATTTTAAACATTTTTTTGTGCCTTAGGTGAATGTTTACACAGCAAATTAGTTTCTCATTCAATAATTAATACACAAATTGTTCTGTGACATTAGTTGCAATCCCCACAATATGTTAGCACTGTCGCCATTTCCACCCTGGGTTCCTCGTTTCCATTTGTCATTTCCCTGCCCCTCCCTGCCTTCTCATCTTTATGTCTGGGCAAATGTTGCCGTTTTGGTCTTGTATGGTTGATAGTTCTAAGGAACACATTCCTCATGGGTGTTATTGTAAATTTTATAGGCCATTCTATTATTTGGCTGAAAGATGACCCCCAGGAATGGCTTCAGTTCCAAGTTAGAAGAGTGTCTTAGGGCAATAGTCTTGGGGGTTCCTCCGTCTCTATCAGACCAGTAAGTCTGGTCTTTTTTATAAATTTGATTTTTGTTCTACATTTTTCTCCCTTTCTAACCAGGACCTTCTATTGCGTTCCTGGTCAGAGTGGTTGGTGGTAGCTGGGCACCATCTAGTTCTTCTGTTCTCAGCTAGAGGATTATTTGCTCAGCATACAGACTGAATAAATATGGTGAAAAGGATACAACCCTGATGCACACCTCTCCTGACTTTAAACCACACAGTATCCCCTTGTTCTGTTCCAACGACTGCCTCTTGGTCTATGTACAGGTTCCTCGTGACCACAATTAAGTGTTCTGGAATTCCCATTCTTCGCAATGTTACCCATAATTTATTATAATCTACACAGTCGAATGCCTTTGCATAGTCAATAAAACACAGGCAAACATCTTTCTGGTATCCATCTAACTTCAGCAATAATATCCCTCATTCCACGTCCTCTTCTGAATCCTGCTTGAACTTCTGGCAGTTCCCTGTTGGTGTACTGCTGCAACCGCTTTTGAATGACCTTCAGCAAAATTTTACTTGTGTATGAGATTTATGATATTTTTTGATAATTTCCACATTCTGTTGGATCACCTTTCTTTGGAATGGGCACATATATGGATTTCTTCTAGTCAGTTGGCCAAGAAACTGTCTTCCAAATGTCTTGACAAAGACGAGTGAGCACCTCCAGTACTGCATCCGTTTGTTGAAACATCTCAATTGGTACTCCGTCAATTCCTGGAGCCTTGTTTTTCACCATTCCCTTCAGCGCAGCTTGAACTTCTTCCTTCAATACCATCGATTCTTGTTTATATGCTACTTCCTGAAATGGTTGAACGTCAACCAATTCTTTTTGGTACAGTGACTCTGTATATTCCTTCCATCTTCTTTTGATGCTTCCTACATCGTCCAGTAATGTCCCCACAAAATCTGAGAAGCTGGACTATACGAAGAAGAATGCAGCATCAAGATTGGAGGAAGAACTACCGTAAAAACTCACGAAAAGGTTTACACACAAAAAGAAACAATCTTTGTTGTTTATGAGGGATGGGAGAGGTGGCGGGGGGGAAATACTAAATAGACAATAGATAAGTGGTAACTTTGGTGAAGGGTAAGAGAGTACACAATACTGGGGAAGCCAGCACAATTTGTACAAGGAAGGTCATGGAAGCTCTGTAGACACATCCAACTCCCTGAGGGTCTGAATTGCTGGGCAGAGGGCTGTGGGGACCATGGTCTTGGGGAACATCTAGCTCAATTGGCATAACACAGTTTATAAAGAAAATATTCTACATTCTACCTTGGTGAATAGCATCTGGGGTCTTAAAAGCCTGTGAGCAGCCATCTAAGATACTCCACTGGTCTCACCCCTTTGGGAGCAAGGGAGAATGAAGAAAACATGATACAAGGGAAAGATTAGTCCAAAGGACTAATGGACCACAACTACCACAGCCTCCACCAGACTGAGTCCAGTACAACTAGATGGTGCCTGGCTACCACCACTGACTGCTCTGACAGCGATCACACCAGAGGGTCCCAGACAGAGCTGGAGAAAAATGAAGAACAAAATTCTAACTCACCAGACTTACTGGCCTGACAGAAACTGGAGAAACCCCAACAGCATGGCCCCCAGACACCCTTTTAGCTCAGTAATGAAGTCATTCCCGAGGTTCACCCTTCAGCCAAAGATTAGACAGCCCCATAAAACAAAACAAGACTAATGGAGCACAACAGTCCAGGGACAAGGACTAGAAGGCAGGAGGGGACAGGAAAGCTGGTAATAGGGAACCCAAGGTTGAGAAGCGACAGTGTTGACATGTCGTGGGGTTGTTAACCATTGTCATAAAACAATATGTGAACTAACTGTTCAATGAGAAACTATTCTGTAAACCTTCATCTAAAGTACAATTAAAAAAAAAAAGATTGGAGGAAGGCTTATTAATAACCTGTGATGTGCAGATGATACAACCTTGCTTGCTGAAAGTGAAGAGGACTTAAAGCACTTACTGATGAAGATCAAAGACTACAGCCTTCAGTATGGATTGCACCTCAACAAAAAGAAAACAAAAATCTCACAACTGGACCAATAAACAAAATCATGACAAACAGAGAAAATATAAAGTTTTCAAGGATTTCACTTTACTTGGATCCACAATCAACGCCCATGAAAGCAGCAGTCAAGAAATCAAACGACGTGTTGCACTGGGCAAATCTTCTGCACAACACCTCCTTAAGGTGTTAAAAAGCAAAGGTGTCACTTTGAGGACTAAGATGCGCCTGACCCAAGCCATGGTATTTTCAATTGCCTCATATGCATGCTACAGCTCGACAGTGAATAAGGAAGACCAAAGAAGAATTGACACCTGTAAATTATGGTGTTAGTGAAGAATATTGAATATACCGTGGGCTACCAAAAGAACGAACAAATCTGTCTTGAAACAAGTACAACCAGAGTGCCCCTTGGAAGCTCCTTGGAATTTCGTCACACGTACTTTCCACGTGTTATCAGGAGGGATCAGTCCCTGGAGAAGGACATCATGCTTGGTAAAGTAGAGGGTCAGCAAAAAAGAGGAAGACCCTCAACAAGATGGATTGACACAATGGCTCCAACAATGGGATCAAACACAGCAAGGATTGTGAGGATGACACAGGACTAGACAGTGTTTCATTCTGTTGTACACAGGGTCACTATGAGTCAGAACTGACTCAATGGCACCTAACAACAACAACACACTAGAGGAGGCTGTGGTTCATGTGGGCCATTAATCCTGTGGACCAATTGCTTCCTAAGTCTTTGGTTTTCTTCACTCTCTTTTGCTTCAGATGGGAGAGACCAATCAGTTGTATCTTAGAAGACCACTCACAAGCTTTTGAGAACCAAGAAGCTACTCACCAATCTAAGATGTAGAACATTATCTTTATGAACTATGTTATACCAGTTGACTTAGATGTCTCCCAAGACTGTGGTCCTTAGCCTTCGTGCCCGATGACTCAGTCCTGTGAGATGTTTGGTTATGTCTAAGACGTTTCCATAAGTGTGCCTCCTACAAGTTCTCTTATATATATGAATATACCTGCAGTACACACAAATATGTATGTAGAAATATCCACAACTATACCTATATATGCACCCGAGTGTACTCCCATACAACCTCCTACACCTGTTTAGCATACATATCTACCTATGCATCCACTCACAAATTATTGTTTGTTATTTCTGTTGTTGCAGGATTGTATATATTATAGTATTTACTGTAGTTGCCCTTTATTCTTGCATACCTCTCACTGTCTTCCGTTGCCTTGGTCACGTTGTGTTGACTTCCCCCATATTGTGTATTGCTTTTCCCTTCACCTAAATTAACATGTGTCTATTATCTAGGTAGTGATTCTCCCTCCATCTCCCTCCCATCCCTGGTAACCATCAAAGAATGTTTCTTTCTGTGTGTAAACCTATTCTTGACTTTTTATAATAGCAGTCTCATACAGTATTTGTCCATTTGTGATGGACTTATTTCACTCAGCATAATGTCCTCCAGATTCATCCATGTTATGAGATGTTTGCTTTGAACTTTTAAATCAAAATTATATTGATTGAATTCCTACTGTGTATTCATATATACATATATACTGTGTATAATATTTTCTTTTTAATTTTCCCTTCAAGAAGAGATAGGGGCACTATTTTAAGGCCTGAGATGCAGAAACTTACGTTAGTAGGTTAAAAAAAAAATTCCAGCAATAGTCTCTTAGTAGAAACTTATTTTAACTATATTCAATGAGACAATGAGCTTGTC